TTTTGCATTCTTCATTTTGCCAAAACGGTATTCATTCACACCTTGTCAATATTATGGACCAATCGATTTTTTACATAGATGACACATAGATTTACAAAACAAAAACACACCATTTTTACATTTTTACGAAAATAGTAAAATTAATTTCGCCAAAAAAGATATTAGAAAAAATTAAAAATGTCCATCTATTTTTTATTTGAATTCTGTTATTAATTTAACTATGTTGACATCAAAAGGTCACAAACCTTTGTCTGGCCTAAATTATACCTTTAATAAATATTATAATATATTGTGTACATTATGCTGAAGCTAATACTTGTAGTAGGCATTATTTAAATAAGTTTTCGGAGGAATGGTATGACGATATGGATGCGTTCAGAATTATTTCTAACATTAATAATACCCAAAAATTTTGTACATTTGCAATACATGTTCTTGTCTTCATCTTTGATTAACATGTCCAACATTTTAATATTTTGAATAATGGTCTAAGATTTAATATCCTTTTGTATCCTTACAATAATATATACATAAATATATAATCATAGATAAATATATATATAAATGTTATTTTTGCTTACGTATTAATTACCCTAAGAGAATTCTAAGAAATAATATCAAATTAATTTTGAGTTTTTTTCTAATTAAATCCATTTTGTATAAGTACGTATAACTTTTTCTTTTACAATGTTTTTATCGGCTATATTATATACAAAAGGCGCGGTATTGTGATTGCATAAAATGTGGCATATCCAGATTTTCATATGAATATATTATAGTTTAAAAGTAATGAAGTACCTTGCAGTACTTGTAGTATTGTATTTGTGGCAGTATTTGTAGCAATAATTTTGGTGTTTCTAGCTTAAATTTGAGGTTACAGTGTAATTATGATGAATTTATACACTTATGAAGTACATGATAAGTTGATAAATATACAGAGCCGGCTTTATATTTTCGCTAAGAGCATAGTTAATGATTTTGCTATGTCAATTTTAGTTTCTTCCCTGATTGTCATAGCTAATAAATTCCCCGGGAAAAACAACATAACCTCCATAAGGAAAAAGAGGTAAATTTTTGAATGCGTATTGAATAGAATCTTAACAAAAATTTTTCATTGAAAATGTTGAGAAGCTCAGCAATTATTTTAAGCAATTATTTTAAATATTTCAAAGGAAATATTTGACCATCTTGTACCATCCTTCTACTAGTCCAATTTTCATAGAAGAGTATAGACTGATTCTAACTGGTGAATATGATTAGGACAATACGATTAAGTTGTGACCCCATCGAATTTTGTATTGTTTTATTAAAGTAAGAGAAAAAATTTTACAAAAATTAAAACATAACAAAAATTCAACTAAGCATTTTTGTATAAGTCATGTGTCAGTCAACCCTTAGGATGAATTAATCAACAAACAGAAAAATTTCATTTCATTTTCTTGAAATACGTACATACTTACTTAATTTTATATAGAAGAATCTTTGTCCGAAGGCATATTTAATGTTATGATATGTTAAAAAAATCTAAAATAATAATTAGAAGTCAAAATAATAAAGCTAAATTAGTAATCTCCCAGTTTATCATGAGTAAAATATAATATGTACGTATACTTACATGTAATCAAAATAATATGTTAAGTCCATAAATTATAAGGCCTCTCATCTTTCATAAATGAAAACGACATGTGATTAACCATTATAAGGACAATGAATTTTGTAGAGTTTTCTATATTCGAAATTTTTTGTTTTATTTTCTCCATTCTGGTATTCTGACATTGGTTCAGTACTTCATATTTTAAAGACTTAACTTTGATTTACCGTCACCTAATATTTATTTTAAATAATTCAAAGTTACATCAATTATAATTTCTTTCATGTTATCAAAAGCGTATATATGTTTTATTATTTATAATATTAATTTTAAAAGGTGAAACGGTGGAAGTGTCCTTCCTGTCTCGTATACGTCTAGATGTACAGGTGTATTTATTGAACAACTATTTACTTTACAATTTTTAAAATATGCTCTCGTATAATAGCAAGTTTATTAGAAGAATTCATAAAATTCTTCTCAAAATAAGTATGCATAACCAATTTTAGCTTTCAATATTTGCGTAAGCTTTAATGTTAACGTAAAATTTTTAGTTTGAAAGGCCAACTTAATTGAATGTACAACGCCTTCACATATTTTTTCACATACACTATCAGCCATTAATTGACGATAACTATATTATACGGCAGTTGTAGACAGTATTTTATTTCGAAAATATTTTATGATCAATAACAAACACACATTTAGGTATAAATTTCTCGATTAGACAATAATGTGCCTTTCTTAAACGCAGTCTCTCTGTGCTGTTTTAGATGCCGTTGTAAATTGTTTATGATTTCTACCAATATTTAAATTAAAACCTAAAGCCACATAAAACTTATATCGAAGTAGTAAACGACTTCATTTGCAATTTGCATAATTTCTAGGAAGACTTTCTTGGTCTTCCATTTTAGGCCTAAGATTTTCACTTAATCATCGAATTTATCCATATAGATATGTATAATAATGTTTCAATTGTTAAATTAGCTTCAAAATTCGTTTCATAAATTTTAATTTCACCTATTCCGTTATCGTACTGCAAAACAAGTTTTCTAACAATTTTCGGAAGTTTTTTTTGGTTTTTAGACCCAGGTTATATAATTTTTAAAAACTCAATTTCTTGATATGCATAAATGGTACAAATGGAAAGTACGTATTACCCCAAATCTTGTTAGAGATAAGAGAGTTTCTTTTCTTAAACTATAGTTGACTCCTACACATTTCTTCATGTGGTTGCAATTTGGTTATTATTATTTTTGTATATATAAAGTTAAAAATCATAATTTTATTGATCTGTTCCGAATGATTTTTATCGATTTCATTTCCATAATTTTCAATTCTTGTTGCAATGCAATAACAAAATTGATAAGATATAAGCAAATGAATAAAAAACATTTTTTTTTTAAGGTTAAGGCAAATAAGTATGTTTATAATAACAGAACGGAATGACTGATAATTTCCGAACAAAAATATTTTTACAATTTATTTACTTCCCCAAATATTATTTAGTTGTTTACAATATGTGAAGGTGTATGTAATTAAAAAAAAATAAAAACAATAATAATCTAAAAATAATAATCAAAAAAAAAAAAAGAATACAACATATGCCATCTGTTGGGCATTTTTATTTATTTTCTTTTTACGGCACATTAAAAAAATCCAAAAATTTGTTGGAATTATTTTGGTAAAGTGTAAATAAAAATTTATTTTATTGATTCTAAATTGAGTTCATTTTAAGAGAGCGACGGATGCAGTTGCTTCTGCGCCACAATTGAAAATTAAAAAAAACTTTTATAATTAAAGTTTTGAATGTTTTTTTTACAAGTTATGATATAAATGAAATATTTTTAACCCTTTGTTGCCAGAGAATAGAAATAGACGAAATCTGTTGCAAAATTATTTTTTTTTTAATAAATTGCAGCTATAGTTTCTTGAAAAATAGAAGGTTTTTGGATTCGGTTGTTTGGCCTGAGTTTAGGGACCCAATTCTTATAAGTATAATATAATTCAATATACGAGATAATGGATCACTTTAAAGTATCAACAGCTTAAAACTTAAGTTTAATCTACCTTCACGATTTTTAAACAATATAAATTTCATGATACTTGAGAGTAGCATCAGTCGACAATGGGTTAAGCCAACAGAAATTTAATTTATAAAAACTTGTGTACATAATATTATTCTATTAAGCTCCTTTTGAATAATTTGTGCTTTTGTTACAGAAACACGGTTTTTCGGTCTTATTGAGCTTACTAGAATAATTTGATCAATTCAAAATTGTCATAAATTTCTCAATAGTATTTAAATTATATACAGTAATTAGATATTACAGCATTTATGCAACTAAAGAATACTATCCATTATAAATCTTAATTTAAAACACATACTTCAATTTTCTGTCTTTGAACAATCATATATAACCATATTTTTTCTTCTCATTACATTAATTGAATAGTAATTACATTACTATTCAATTGAAGTAATTTTAGTGAATTCCATTTTTCACATTTAACCCCGTTGCAAGACATATAACTATAAAAACACAACAATTTAACGCAATACCTTTTGTCAATACAAATTCTAAAATTTTCCATAAGTTTAACATTTTTTAGACTAAATAATTTTGGTACCCCCTGTATATTTTTCTAATGTTGATAATTTTTGCTTTCAATAAAATATTTTTATATATAAAATTATCATATATTTTTATATTATGATGATGAATGGAAAAATATTTACCAACTGCATTTTACACTTCACGAGGGGCTCAAAAGCAGAATGACACATTATTTTGCAGAATTCATTCACATTATTTTGCAAAAAATACAATTGAAAAGAACAAAATTTTAAGGAGCCAGCAAAATCAGTATTGCAGCTTTTTTCGTACTTTAGCTTGTTTTATTAATATATTACTCTAACTTTAAAAAATTCGGTTTTCTGATTGGTTACGCCACTCTGTTTTTGAACCCCTCGTAGTACTTTAAATTTCATATATACCTCAACAAATTTTTTTTATAATTGAAAATTTCGATTAGACAGTGTTAACTCTATAAAATATATCGTGAAGTTAATGCTAAAACTAGATAGCAAATAATTAATCATGAAGATATCTAGTTTTAGCGTTATTATTTTTAGATATTTAAGAGCATTTTTAAGGTTATATATTGGTCGCAAGTGAAAGGGCATTCGATTTTATGACGCCTAGGTTAATTATCTAAAAATATAAAATTTTCGAGCTATCTGGTTGTAGCATTAACCTCACCATATGAGTTTATTTTAATTCCATCTTTCCTTCACCATATTTTTGGTTCATTTCATTAAAAATTAATTTCCAAACACCATCATTGTTACAATATTTTTATTTGTGAAGTAAAAACAGAAAAAAATATTTTAATTTCATTAATCACTTACCTTTTTAATTTTTACTTAATGCTGTCTAATTAAAAAAGAACGATAGCCAATTATAGGCAATTTAATCCATCTTAGTATCGGCTTGTTCTGTCGTATAATATTTAAAGTCTCTACTAATTCAAAATATTTCAAGATTTATAATTTTCAATTTTGTGTTTTTTTTTGTTTTAATTATAACAATTTTTCTTTCACATATGAAATTTTAATATTTCACTTCATCCAGCACATATTAATGTTGCATTTTATAAATTTATTCAAATATATCTAAGCTGTATAATAAATTTTTGATAATTAATATTAATCAAAAAGCAAATAACAAAAGAGTCTCTTAAATGCGCAATAATATTAATGTATTTTTTAAAAATTACAAATTTACAAATTTCACAAAAAAAATATAATTTAAAATTTTTTCAAATCAAAAAATAAAAGCGCTTGTAAGAACAAGTAGAGCCAATGAGATTCTGCTAAAAATTATCCTTTAGCTTTTTAACACTTCACAAATAATATATTGTTATGCAGCACGAATCATTCAATTTTTCGCTTTTAATTTTAATAACTCATGAATTTTGAACAGTAACTTTAAATTACTCAAAATAAAAAAAGGAAAATGTAATTAGAAAATGTGCAGCTCTTAAAATGTTAAATTCAAAATTAGTCACTATAACTGGTAATCAATCATTTATAATTTTTAACACAATATTTTACGTATTTTTTTCAATTAATCTTATATACTCTTCCTATATATCTACTATTTAAGAATATATATCCATATGCCTATACAACCAACCATATGTGTCCTTGTTTTTCGAAAATCAACAAATATGTTCAAATATTTTTTTTGATATTTTTTTTTTGCAAGAAACCCACTAGCATTAAAGTAGGTTTAATATTTCTTACATTATTCACAACATACTACTACCTTATATTCTTATAGATTCCTTTTTTAAATGTGTCTGGGGAAAATTTTTAATTTTCCAGGAAACCAAACTTAAAAAAATATAAATATGTAGATATATATATTCATATATATATCAAAATATTATTTTCCTTTTTATTTGTTGTTTTAATTTTTCTTTATTTTACCTTTATAATCTGAACGACAAGCAAACACAGAAAAAAAAATTTATTTTTTTTTTTCACAAAATACAATAAATATGATAACAATAATTTTTATATAACAATGTATCCATCCGTTTACCTAAAATGATAAATCGCTTCGGGTAAGGTCTCGACACAAACTGATCTAAAATTTAAAATTACCGTTACTATAAACCCGGTGAGATTAAAAATATCAAAAAGAAAACTAAAAAAAATATAAAAAAAAAAAACAACAGCACATTTCATTTTTCAAAATGGTCCAAAGATGAATATTAACCAGCGATGTATAGGTGTATAATGATGTTTGTATTGAAACAATTTGGGAATTGAAACATTAGAACAGTTTTATTATTTTTCGTTTTTCTTTTTTAAAATTTTATAAAAAGCTCTGTTATATTTTCATTCTCCCATTTGGAGAATCTACATGTTACATTTGTTCTGTTTCCATTTGTTTTTCCTTATTCCAGTGTTCCATTTAAACTAGAATAAGAAAAAAAAATTGAGGAAATTTCATAATAAACGAAAATATTGGAAAATAATAAAAATTTTGTTTGTATATAGGCAAGTATATAGTCATATGTAACATAGAACCTGAAATCCTAGTTTTCTGGAAAAAAGGAATGCTTTATTAGTTGATGTATTATATGAAAAATATATATATATATATATATATATATATATATATATTTCTATATATAACATAATGTGTGTATATTCACGAATTTACACTTCTTTATTATTAAAGAGAGAGCTTAAGAATGAAGGTCGTATTATATACAATTTTGGTTAAATTATTTTTGATCCCTATGTACTAAGAAATATCAAAATATTATATACCTTCCTGTTTTTATGTAATATAAAAGTATACACAACAAATAATATATATACATACGCCACATTTACATATGTATATATACATTTAGAAAACCTGTTACACCTCAATAATAAATTTGTTTCTATAATTTTAAGAATATTTATACAACACCATATATACATACATATTTAATTTATTTGGAATACTCATATGCCCTTGGAAAAAAGATTATTTACTCTCAATAGAACAACAGGTGGAAATTGATATTTATTAAAATCTTCTTATGGTATGAAAATTTTAGTTCAACAATAATTTGTTGCTTTTTTTTTTTACTTAACATAAGTTTTATGTTATACGAAAATTATATCAATGATAAATTAATGTCCAAGAACACATACATATTTAAAGATTTTTTAGTATAAGACGTAAATTAAACAAGTATAATTAATTAACTCAATAATATTACAAAATTTAAATTAATAAAGAAATATTGCTCATTTACACTATTTTTTTGAGGAGTTTCGCATAAAATAAAAACAGCTGAGCAAGTCGGCAGGTCGAAACTGATTTTTCGCTACGTAATCGATTCGAACATGTTTCTATGTTGTAGTTCTATTATTAAAGCATCGTTTGCGACTGCTAAAAAGTAATTCGGAAGATTAATTGAAAACTGCATCATCAAAATAATTTTGACTGTAAATCTTTAAAAAGCCATACAGATCAGCTGTAAAAAAATGTTTGTTTTATCTTATGTTCCAGAGGAGAAATAACTCAGAAATAAAAATATAGTATGTAACAATAATGTATGTAAATGGGATGAATATTAAACAAAAAGCAACAGCTTTCTCTATTTTGATAGCTCTACTTTTCTTCTGAAACCAGCCTCAGACGCTGAAACATCAAATTAAAATAGAAGACTCCATAAAATTATTTTAATTGAACTCAGCTGTAATTATTGTATTCCATTCTCCCGGGATAGTACAAATATAGTCATCGCTGTTACATAGTTATATAGATATTTTTCACATGTTATATATTTGATTAATTTTCTACGCGTATTACATAGTATAGATATCAATTATTTAAATAAAACGTAAGCCACAAGAACGTCGCATTTGTATTCGTACGTATTTCGAGAGTATCAAAACCGGACTTGCCCAAAAATATGCAATTTTTTTATTTTTTCTTGTACATAATATAATTACCCCCGAATTATAGCAAAATTTGTGCTAATAACTCAATATATGAGTTATATGAGTATTGTCTCGTACTTCCATTTATATATGAAATTATATGAAAGTCGGAAAAATAAAATTTGCAGACAAAAATGAGTATTTAGTTCACACTTTTATAACAGTGCCAAACACAGTCCAATTTTTTAATTGTAACTTTTATACTCAGCGATAATAAAATTTTAATATGTTGTGATTGTGACCTTAACATAAAAATTTCACCATAAATTATTTTGAATACCTTGCTAAATAATTTTTTTTTTTTGCTTTTGTAATCCATTTCATTCTCTTCCCTTTCATAATTTCAAAATATTTCTAATAAAAAAATTTTTATTATTATTCAATTTCATTTTATATAGTTTCTCCTTTCCCAATTATTTTATTCTCCAATTAGCAGAAATGCTTTACAGTTTTCCAAATAAGAGAGGAAAAGTTTTAACCCTGTTGAATATAAAAGCTTATTACACTCAGCTGTAATATATAAATACTTATGTATTTCTTGTGGAGAGCAAGAGCTGAGATACAAATATGTATGTATGTAACATATGTAGTAATATCTAAATAAAATTTAAATTTGTAGAAAAAGTATCGTGGTATGTTGTGAATATTTTTTCATACAAATATACATTCATGAGCATGGAATTTATACTTGTATGTACATAGAATTTTTTATTCACTGCACATAAAATTTAGCCAAAATTTATGAAAAAAATCTCAATGATAAAATGAGTGTACGGTTATATACACGTTTATATTTCATTTACTACATAAAGAAAATTTGAAATGAAAATATCAATTTGTGCTGCTCTTTTTTACTGGGTTAGACGAGCTGTCGTCTATAGGGAACAGATTGTTATATCAGTAAAGTTATGTATACAAGAAAAGAATGTACATACAGTACGTCCTATGTAAAATTCTTTTGTAATTTTGAAATCAGGATATTACAGGAAAATTGTTTTCAATTGCTTTGCATACACACACATGTGTACGTGTTTGTATGCACAAAATGTACTTTAATATAAATTTGTATTAAAAAAAAAGTGAGTACGTTTGCATATAAAAAATTTATAAAGATACACACTCATATCATAATCTTATTTTTCATTCTTGAATCGTAAAACAAGAGGAAAAGTTAAGTTGGAAATGTAAAAAAGTAAAATTTGTCTGCGTATAAAAGTATACATAAATTGAGATATCTGTACGGTATATATGAGTTACAATAAGGAGGAGGCAATAAATATTTCTATATATTATAAAAAAAATAAAATTGAAATGGAATATTAAAAGAAAAAAAGCATTAAAATTGAGAAAATTAAAATATATTTGTGTATGCGTATGTTAGTATCGCTGTTAAAAATATACACGCATATAAGAATAAATTCAAATGAAATCAAAAAAGAAAAATCTTTCGGAGAAAATAAAAAATAATGACTACCTACTCATACACGTACATATATGTATGTAGTAAAATTTTATAAGTTAGCAGAAATCAACACGTGTACAAATCGACTGTTGCTTACGACATCTTTGTATTGTTTATTTTAAGAACAAAATACAGATATATTCTTTTATTGCTTACCATATACAATACGATATAGTTTCGCACGAAGGCTCCTGTTGCGTTAAATACAATGACTTGATATTTGTATGTGCATATATACAAATAATATGTGCACATATGACAACATATTGAATATTATACACGCTTACAAAGTTTACTATAAAATTAAACGGAAATAATGTATGAAAATATTTTTGAAAAAAAAAAAATTTTATAATGAGGTTTTAAAAAATAATTATGTTGTTGACGTTGCTCGGAATAATAAAAACCACAAAGCTTTTAAATAAATTTAAATTTGGCAATTGAAAGAAGAGTCGAAACTTTTGACTTTAAAATCATTATTAATAAAGTTAAGAGTGAAATTTTCCAATATTTACGTTGCATATTATGATTTCATTGCATTTATATTAATTTAGATTATTCGCTGTGTATGGAAATCCCTCAGGCATTAATTGAATATTGAAATCGTTTAATAACTTTAATTATACATTATGTATTAATCTAGTTATTTACTTATATTCAGAAATTTACGTTCTAATTTCACTCGGAGGACCTTTTAGTCATAAAATAATTGCTATTGTGAGAATAATTTTGAAGGAAAACTATATTCAATTCGGTAGCACGTTTTCAAGTCTTTAACAATCTAAAGAGAAAAGTTCAACTAAATTTCTTTCGATCATGTTTCACTAAGCCTTTTCAAAGTAAAAAGGAAAGCAAACAATATCAACCGTATTTTTGTGTTATAATTTATTTTACATTATTTACTTGTTCTTTGTTTCAATGTTTC